CCCGACTCACACCACTGCCGTGTTCCATCAGACCCTCAGCTGCTCTTCCCAGCTTCATCGTCCTCTCGCTGCTTTCTCCACTCCACGTGGCACCTGGCCAATCTCTCTCCCAGACGTGGGTGGAGCCTTCCCCACACATGTGGGAGTTGTCACATTCCACAGGTGCCTTCTGCTCTGTTTCCGGGACTTCCCAACTGATAGAAGATGCAGTCAGCGGGAGGAGAACATGGAGAAAACGCTATCTCTCCAGATACATGCCGAATTCCATTCCTATTCACCATCTCTTCATACAGGTCCTGGCCCAAGGTTGGGGATGCACCCTCTGGATTCAACCCAGCTCCTCTGGGTGCACCCCTGAGCTCAGCAGTTGCAGCTGCCTTTCCTGATTGGTGTGAGATCTCCAGATTTTAAAGTACTGCCAAATAGGTTCTGATGAGTAAATGAAATATAGCTACATACATAAGAATATTTGTCATGTAACTATGGTTACTATAAGGCATTGATACAGATTTTGGACCCACAAAGCAGGACATTGAAACAAAAATTCTTCAGGAAGCAAATGTTTGTTTATACAAAAATAGTTTTTGCCACTAACTTGCCCCAGTCACTAAATTGCACATATGGAAGTGGGCAAGCCCCACCCTGGTATTTGGGGCTCTCATCTTTACTTGGTCTGTCCACAAGGTTCAGCCAAATGCTCACTCCATTACTTCTTAATCTGGCTTGTGAGAGGTGCTAGATTTTGGAGGTCGGAGGCTGCACCACTTGACACACCTGTCCTAGTCCAGTGCCAAGACTGATCATCTCGACTCCAGTCCACCTACCTTGAAACTCAGCTGTAAAATTGTACTTATTGTTGCTGTCCGGCTTCCAAGTACAATGAAAACAAGTCCTTGTACTTTCTCATCGGAGACGTACAGTATATGTTCTATGTGAGATCATTTCCCCTCCCCTTTCACCTCCCGCTTTTACCTCCTATAAATATTACAGGTATTCTCTGGTATTTCAGTTAAAGGAGTTTTTATTCACGTTTTATTTCCCATTGCTTATTGTTTCTGTGCAAGCTGCTGCTTTTTTCATGGCCCCATTGAATTAGGTCCCCCCTTTTTTTGAAAATTTTATGTTATTTATTATTTATCTTCATGTGTTCTTTTTCCTGTCTTCTGCACCTTCCTCTTAATTTCTGTCCCCAATCATCTGAAAGTTTGCTAAAGAGTGGGTAAGTGTGTCCTACATTTTTTTTCTTTTTTCCAAGTTCCTGTAATCATATGTTATTGTTTTATTGCAAAAGAAAATATAGAGCAGTTCAAAATGATAGAAACTACCTAGTAAATATTATGGGACCAGTGTCCAACACTTTGAA